AAAACGGTTTAACCTTAAAAGTGAATTCAAATATATAAAGGGCATATTTACTGCAGTAGTTAAACTTAAACACCAAAAATTTTATAAGCACTTTGCGTATATACAAAGACAAAAACACAACAAAAGTTCTGCAATTTTCTCGATTTCATTTCAGATCATTTTATACGTAATCACAAACCGGTGATATTGTCAAGAAAATGTTGAAATGAGGCCTGTACACATATACTGTATCAATTGTATACGTAATTATTGTGAGTCCAAACCCTGGATTTAGTGGTTATGTTCTTGATATTATGCTTTATGATCTTATCTTGCGCTTTATTTTGTCTTAGACAAATTATGAATTCGCTACATCGGATTTTGTATTACATATATGTACATATATAATTTGACGATTCATTTCATTATGTTAATGAATCATTGAACAGTACAAGTTTTTTAACTTTAGAATTTCTATGTTATACTGTTTCGTAAGGGTCTCGAATGATTCAGCTTCTATCAGTATGTTTATAAGCTACATGCTCATTATATACATACGTAAGCATTCTTATTTCGGATTCACAATGTATTTTTATTATATAATTTATGTTGACATAGATTTAGAAATATTTGTAAACTATTATCAACATAAATAATTCTGCACCCGATTAAAATATTTCTCTAATAAAGTCGGGAACTTTCAGAATAAAGTTATAGAATAAAGTTTAACAACCAAACATAGAACACAAGATAACAGTATAAACTTTTTTGTATATGTCCTATTGTAATATTTTTACCTTCAATGCACAAATTGAAAATAAAGGATTCAAGTATTTAACAACAAGCTATAAACTTTAAAAACAAAAATTCTCACATACTTTCACTATAAAGCAATTAAAGGCGCATTGTAAAATTTTGTTACTAAAATATAATGCCATAAATGTAAAAGGACCATACTTTTTTAAACTATAAAAATTTATGTATGTTTACTTGTATGGGATATATTTGGTTCTAACACATAACTTTTAGCTGATAATAAAAACGATGATAACAATATTCCAAATATAAATTTTAAATGTTTTCCATATAACACAATTTTATTATACTGTAACAACGATTATGTATTTTGAAAATGAAATTAAGAAGAGAAGTCAAAAAAGGAAAAGTATCCTGCTGTTTTCGCAGGTCCTTTTTACAACGAATATAATTTTATTGGTGTATATGAATATTTTCTATGGATTATGAATAGTTAAAGTGTTATACACTTATGAAAGTATGATTTATATCAAAAAAATGTGTGTGAAATTTTAGTTTTTCTCCGAAAATTTCTTATACCATTTACACAATACATTATTATTATTACACTCTCGAATTTCTAAATTATTGTTTTATGAAAAATAAGGGCGCAAACAATGAAAAATTGTAGTTAATTATATTTTGGCATTTTTGTTGTATTAGAAAAAGAATAAAGGTTTAACTTGTTTATGTGTACTATAAGGAATAAATGTGCATCCTGAAATTTTCAAATATTCTTATAGTGCGGTAATATGTGATGTATTTGAAATTTAAAAGAAAGATGTGAAATATCTAAATTCATAAATTTGTTTTGTTGGTCATACTGTTAAAGTATAAACGAAATTCTTTTAAGATTTGCTATGTAATATGGAAGAAATTTTAGAATTGTTAGAAAACGAATACGTTACTGTTAGTTTAGTATTAATAAAAGGTCTGCCGATTTAATACACAAACGAATTAATTTGCTTTTTTCCTCATATATTTAATATTAAACCTGAAAAATATTCGCCAAAAAGAAAATCTAATCTCAAAACCTTTAAGTTACATTATTAAATTATTCAAGCTTTACAGTATTAAATTATGCTCATATTAATTAAATTTTAGATTTATTTTAATTCTAGTCAGAATTTCACATATTTTTTTTCCATTAAATGCATATAAGTAGTAAATGTATCTCTTGTTATAAATAGCTATTATATGGAATTTACATACATCAACAATTTATGAAATGTATACACTTATAACGTTCTTTTATAAAATTGATCTCTTAAAATTTCTTTGAATATTGAAACAAAGGAAAATATTTTATATATGTAGCTATTTTCATTTACGAGTTTATGAAATTCTTGGAATTCATGAAATATCAGATAATAATTGAGTATTTCTGTCATGGTATTTCTAGTATTCATATTATAACATTTATGTTTCCGAATGAAATTTGATCTTAGTATAAAAGTATGTATGCATAAATGATTGTAGATGTGGATAAGAAAAATTTCATTATTAATTCTGTATTTCTATAATATATAATATGTATAGTAAAGTAATCCTTACAAGGACATTTTAATTAAAATTCAATTCTTTTGAAAATCAAAACATTATTAAGATTATTGAGATTTCTTAAAGCAATTTTCTTATTAGAATAAAGGTAAACAATGTTTTTTTCTTGTTATATTTTATTGTCTAGGTTATTGTTAAGGAGATCAATTTTGTTGTTTGTTATTTTTTCATTTTAAATTTTATTCATCTACACACTTGTATTTCAAATCTTGTTTTATTTTCAATAGAATAACTTAACGTACTTCTTTATTCTTATTAAAGAAATTTGCAAAATCTACTGTACTTTTTTCATTCTGCAGCATTTTTGGTACAAGTCGTATGATATGAACTATCTCTAAACAATAAATACCCAAAATTTTATAACAATGTTACATATTGTTCGCGAAAAAATAAATGTACAAAATCTCTATAACTTATAAGAATTATTCTTACTGATAAAGACAAATTATCCTCTTAATGGTATTAAATTGTGAATTGCATATGCAATAATAAAGAATATCTAATTCTCAAATGGGCGGCAAGCTTGGAAAATGTACCTATAATTGGAATTAAAATTAAAATAAAACACATTGCAATTTTTAATATTTGATTTCAATTTTAATATGTGGATCTACGAATTGTATATATACATTGTATTGCAATAATATAGCAGTAATTCTTGAATAATTAGAAAATATTATCCTGAAGAGCAAATTCTTTATTAAATTTATTTACAAATAAAATTAACTTTATGACTGAATTATGTACTTCAAAACCTATTGTTTAGTTATTTCAGCTCTTTTTAGAGTGTTAAATCATTTTTACATTTTTCATTCTAATTACTAAGCTGTAAAATGAAAAAAAAATTGTAATAATTGATTGTAGTAAAGGAAATATTAATTTTCTTAACCTATATATTTCAAAAATGAAATAATTTCTTGCATTGCATTTTATTCAATTTGCCATTTTAACGATTTCAAAGTATTCCAAAGTTATTATTTGTTGAATAATTCTGAATATTAATTTTGAAATTATTTATAACATTCTTTAGAGAGATTTGCCCTGAATTTATAATGAAAAGAAATTTTTTTTATTTGGTTTTTAAGTATGTACTTAATAAAGTCGATTATTATAATTGAAGCTCAGTTTTTTATTTAGAATTATTCTGCAACACCGTATAAATTTTCGATTTTTCTAATATTTCTTTAGACGTTCAATAGAATCTACACTTGATAATTTTTTTTCGAATAAAAACTGCACTTGATGCTTTTTTTCGAATATTATTCAGATAGTATTCAAGAAAGAATTAAGTAAATGAAATAAAGACACTTGAATTTAATTTTTAAACTAAGAACAATAATTTACTTAGTAGGACTGTAAAAATTAAAGCGGAAGGAATTTATTTTTGTAATAGAATTGTAATTGCAGAAGTCCTATTAATATTTTTATATTTTTATAAAAGAAGTGGAAGTTGAAACGATAGTAATTTCATGATTACCTTAAGGATTGATTCCTTTGCTTGCTTCTTTGTATAATAATTTGAACAAAGATCTATAAAAACTCTCACGCATTTTATTGTTTGATTTTAAATTGTTTAAAATTAACAGAAAAGCGTCCTCATTTACCGTTAGAAAAATACAAAGTGAAAAACACGCTTGAGCAAACCTGAAGAGTGCTTAAGAAATCTTAAAATATATGAAAGATGGCCGCTCTTATTAAATTATTTCTCGAGGTTATCACATTACTCTGGAGTTTTACCGAAAATAGTTTAAACAATTAAAATTTTAAATTATGGAGGGGTTTTAGGATCAAAAAAATTAATAAGTCATAATATTTTTCCTTGGAATTTTCAAAAAATGTGTAGGTACAATTGTACGTTCTTTAAATATGATTAAAAAACTAGTTTCAAAGTAATAATGTGCTTTGAAAAGAGAATATATAGCTTTGTCATGTTAATTTAAAAGAGAAAGGAAAAAGTTTTTATATTTTGTAAAACAAAATGAAAATAACTTCCATTTTAAGAGGAAGTAAGACACCGAAAGAATTTAAATAGGACACAATAAATTTCTAAAAAAAATTAAAAGCGGAAAATAGTAACGAATCGAATGGAAGCCCACAAAAAATTTATTACCAAAGACAAAATGTGACAATTAAATTTTTTACGTTATTATCATTTCTCTTTGTACCCTGATTTCTTTTACATTTATTTTTAACTTAGTCCAACAATAGTGTACAGTTTGTGTTGTTAGCTAAGTATAATTGAAAATGTATTAAGCACAAATTATATTACCTGCGCTGGTATTCGAATCGTTCAATAGCCCTTAAATTATATTGTAAAAGTTCTTTGAAATTATTGCAGTTTGCAAATAAAAGAGTAACTCCGATTCTAAATTTTACCTTGGGTACGGCAATTTTCATCCTTATTTCATTGAATTCAAATATTAAAATAATAAAATAAAAATAAAATAAGTTCGAATTACGTTAAATTTGAAAATATACCAAATTTCTTGAGTACGAAAATTGTGTATCAAATTATCCTTACATATTCATTGAAACACAAACATTTTTGTATTATGCTTTTAATTATAGTATAGAAGCAAATATTTACAATATATTATTATGTAATAAGTATACTATCAATTTTGCTTTTCTTTTTCAGATTCAATTTATCAAGTGAATATGTTGACCATAATTCTCATCGTCATTATAATAATCAAAACAATTTACATAATAATGATAAAGAAAATAATCAAACGATTCCTGTTAATGATGATCATAATGGTGATGATGATGATGACGTTGATAATAAAAAAAAAATTATTAATAAGGATAATGTAAATATTAATAAAAATTCTATTAAAACAACAACAAAAATTGGTGACAGTTCTTATAATAGTCATAATAATAATACTAAAAATTATATGACAACAACATCTGCGACAAATCCGTCAACAACAACAAAAACAACAACAGCGGAAACGATAACAACAACAAATGAAATTTATCCCATTCCGATATTATTCAAATTTCATGATATACGATGTGCATGTGAATTATTACTTTTAGCAATTAATTCACTAGAAATATGTAGATCATTATTACCATTACCATTTTATTCAGTAACATTTTGGACACAAAATTTAATAAATTTAGAGACGTCAACAATAAATACAGCATCAGCGACATTTGAATTACATAATAATAATAATAGTATAAATTATAAAGGTAAAGATATACACATTACATACACATATTCACAAGAATATTCACGATATAATATAAAATAAAATTAGTATGTATGTGAGTATATGTTGTGTGCATATAAACATATATATATAAAAATAAAATTTGTTTCCTATATTATGCGAATAAATAATATCAATAATTTTATTTTATTTTCTGTTTAACGTTATATAAAAAGGACATACAGTACCACTATCAACACCATTATTGATGAATAGCAATAATATCGATGATAATGATAAATTTCAATTGATATTACATTCGCCACCATTTATAATTTACAATTCAATTTTTGGAATATTTATGACATTTATTTTAATTGGATATCATAGGATTTTAGAAATGAGAAATATTCCAGGTGAGTAAATAATAATAAATAAATATTTTGATATTCAATAATATAAAATAGCTCATAGCTGTCTATGTATTGCATGTATGTAGGCCAATAACAATAAAATTTTGATATAGTATTTGTAAGAAGTTTGTTTATCGTTTTTGTAAGTTTTAATTTCTATTTTAGACTAGATTTATTGTCAATATTATGCAAAAAACAAAGGAAGTAATATTGTTCTAAATAGTAAAGGATATCGAATTTTCATGGAGGTAGAACTTTTCTGTTTAATATTACAAACTTATTTATTTTAATAATGTTTTGAGTTTACTAGACTAACTGAATATACTATATTCATATATACGTAAACATACATCTGTATATGTGCTAAATTTAGTTTTCGAAATATTAGTTTACCTTCATTAGAAAATTTAAAATTTTTTATTCCTTTCATTAGAAATTCAATTTTTTCAGCAGTATTGAATGAATTTGAACGATTAAATATCATTAATTATTTTTAATAATTATTATAATTTTTTCAAAAAATTTTAGTTATCATATTAAATTACAATGATAAACTTTAATTTTTAAAATTATCATTAAAAAAGGATTAATTTACTAGTATAATTTAATTTTAAATTTAAATTGCTATCTTGATAAAATGTTGTTGCATAATAAATTATAAAAGTTATAGTGACTAACTGACTAACTATTTTATATAAAATTGTGTTGATTTTCATAAAATAAAGTAATACGAAAAAAAAACACTTAAAATTTCGCATTATTGGTTGTAAAATTTAAAATCTGAGCAAATAGAAAAACTTGATGAGTTTTGAATATTAAACTTCTTCATAACTTCATAATGTACTACAAAACACTAAATAAACTTATTTAGAATGAGGGCAAGGTTTTATGTATTAAATTAATGGTTTATAAAATTATTGTTATATAACAATAAAAATCAAATTTTCATTGAAAGTTTTCTAAAAATATTAATTTATAATATAAACAATACAACCATATTTAAATTTGATTTTATATGCTCGAATACAAAAGCTTTATTGCCCATTAAATCAATTGAGAATTTGTTATCATTTTATTGTATTATTAATATGTAGAATAAAATATTTAAGCAATTCGCTTTCCGTTTATGATCCAAGCAAAAATTAATTGTCGAATTTAAGGAATTTTGATATTAACATATAGATAATGTAAGTATAGGCTGTATAGTGAGGTTTTAGCTTTGTTGATTGGTTAATGAGCATTTATTTGCATGATAAAGGATTGACCCCTGAAAGTATGCAATTTTATAAGAATTGTACCATGTTGATAATAAATCAAATAATAGTAAAATGTAATTAGAATGTAGTAGAATGTAGTTAGAAAATATGAAATTTTTCTCAAATTCAACCCTCTATTATGTTGAATTTTATGATTCAGCCGTTTTTGTTTTCATTCTGTTAATTTTTTCCACATTTCAAAAATTTAAAACGATCTCAATATTAAAGTTTACCAAATTTGTTTTTCGTGTACGTAAATTTTGTTTAATTAAAATTCAATAAAAAAAATCAGTAGAAGAAAAATAATTTAATAGATAAATAAAAATTAGTAATTTGATTTAAAAATAGATTTTTTTTTTATTTTTTAATTTTTTTTCACTAAATTTTTATTTTTAGAATTTTTATATGTATCGATGCCATTGGAAATTGTTTTAGGAATTATAAGAATTTATCAAATACATTTTAATGTACCAAGTTATTTTGATTTGGAGCCATTTTTAAATTGGAGCACTGGTTTCTGTTTATTTGGAATAGCTATAATTGATGGATATGTATTATATAAACAGGTAAGTTAATGTATTGTAAATATTTTAAATAATACATGTATGTGTATGTAGTTCAATGATAGATGACGTCAAATAATTCTATAAAAAAAAAGATTTCTTGGCGAAATCTCAAAGTGTGCTAAAATTGTATAGATATTTTATACATATACAAGATTAATTTATTGATTTACAAAAATAAATATATGAATTTGGTTAAATTTTTTTGTGTCTAATAGAAGTTTTCGTGTAAGTAATTTAAAATAATGTATGCATAAAGTTTATAAAGACGATTAATTTAATTTTTGCCTATAAACAAGCAAGAGAAGTCAAAGCAAATATCACTAAGATTGTTTTCTTTACAATTTATGAGACTAAGATTTTTGTAATTCAAAAATGTATTTATTCTTGATTTTTGATGATAAATGGTGTTGCCTTACTTGATTTTTATGTATCATTCTTAAGATACTTAATTTCATTAAGTGTAAAATTTTATTTGCATGTCAAACCCAGATTAAGTACAAAACTTACTTAAATTACAAGATATTTATAGTATAAGTTGCATGTAATTAATTCATAATAAAGTGAAAATCCCTTTAACTGGCACATACAATTTAACTTAATCTTTAGTACGTCTTTTATTTTATTATAAGTAGCATTTATCTGCAATAAAATTAATTTTCATTATAAAATACTAAAAAAAAAGTTATAAAAAAATGGCAAGAAATGAGAAAAATAAAAAAAACACAATAAGGAAACCGACAAATTGCTATGATAATTTTCATTACGTGACCATTCCATTCAAATGACATTTTTAAAATAGATTTTGGGTCAAAAATAGTACAAAAAAGAAAAAAAAACATAGGAAAGTGGGAGATTTTTTTCTACTTTACGAGTATTATAAGGTTTCTTTTCTGAACGTAAAAAAGGAAAAAAATATAGTTAACTAGGAAAATTTAAAGAAAACTTTCTTGGAAAATAAATTTTTTTTTTGATTATCCTTGATAGCTACTAAGGCAACATTTAATTCGTTTTGGATGAGAAATCATGAACAAAACTACAGAATTGTTACGTTACAGTAAAAAAAAATTCAAATGACATGAAAATTTTATGAAATCCTCCATTTTTTTTTCACTTCTTTTGCATTTTTAAACTAAAGTAATATTGTAGTTGGATCGTTATCCTTTAAGACTAATAGTTAGAATTTGAATTCATAATATTTAATTATAAAACTTTTATGTAAATTTAATGAAATTTCAAATTCAGCCGGTTTCTTTTTTTTTTTGGTCCATAGTAATATTTATTTTAAAGTTTAATTGAAACTATATAAACTTGTAAATTGCTGCATGAAAGTTTGCCAAAAACCAATTTTAAAAGAATTTAAAAATTCATTTCAGTTTTTTCGTATTTTCTTAGATTGCATCGTTTTGAAGTATCGTTATCATATTTTTTTTTTTAGAAAATATTTAAGCCTTTGGGTATTTTAAAATTAAAGAAAGAAATCATTTTATTTAGTTTTTCATTTATACAAAAAAACCCAACAAATAATATTGCGTTAAACTTAGATTAAAGTTTTGGAAAAGAAGTGGTTGCATATATCTAGGTTGGTGAGTTGCTCTGTTGTTTCTACCCGATTTTGAAAAAATAAAAAATTTTGCAAATTTAAATTTAAATTATCTATTGATTCTCATACCGGAAAATTTATTTGTGAATTATTTTAAAGGTAAATGTTGCAGTTATGGGAGAAAACGAAACAGAGTTTTCCGCAATTTAAATTTAAATAAAATATATTAATTGAATAAAAATGCTATTTAAAAATTTAGGAAAAGTTTATTTAGTTCTAAATTGTGCTGTTTAAAGAAGGCCTTGAAAGAGCTATGGTTTAGATTACTTATTTCAGTACATGTTTGTAAAAATGAGAATTTTTTTTATATACCAGCACCACAAATTGTCAAGCAAATTGCTAGCATCAATTATCAAGCAAATTGGAGGTATCAAATTGCCTAGCAAAATCGTCATCTTTTGATGATGAAAAAAAACAGGACTGAGCTATAATACTATTGATGTTTAATCCTTAGTTAAGTATAATTAAATCCCCGAAGTATAGACATTAGAGCCATCTTTACCAACACCAAGATCAAAATAACAAGAACTAGAATTGGCGGCACGCAACACCCCAATCCCTTTATTTTTCATCGACGGTTAGAGTTTCTTTTCCAATTGAAGAAATATTTTAAGTATTTAAGGAACAAAAATCGTAAATTTAGTTTATTTCTTTAGTTTTCTACTTCTGCAATGTATAAAACTCATTGTATATAAAAATATAATTCATTTTATACATTGTATATAAGAATTATTTTCACAGAAATAAAAGAGGATTTTCTTTTTATGTTGTGCCTTATAAATAAATAATAGTTTTTCTTTTGTTAAATTATGGTTGCATCAGACGATTTAATAACAATAATAATAATAATATGTTTTATTATGTAAAGTTTGGAGACATACTTTATGACATAAGGGAGTGCAATATTAATTTAAAATGTGAGGGAAATTTAGAAAAGCAAATGAGTTTATTTTCTTTTATATAAAAGTTCTAGTACTCATTTTTCTTTACAAAGTTATGGGAAATCACAAATCTGTAGTTTCGCTTATCATTATTTTTGTTTAATTTATATACAAAACGATTAGAAATGAATAAGATATTTGAAAAAAATCTGATGTGGCTAGCACATAACAGACCGCAATGTGTATTATTTAGTTAAGTGAAAATGTTACAGAATATTATAAAAATATCTGTTAAATACTTCTTTCCAATTTTTAGGGCGTTCGTAAGCTTTAAGTTAAGATACCTAGAAAAATGTAAATTTGGCTCTTAGTAAAGTTTCATTTTATGCCGCTTGAATTATACGAAAAGTTCATTAGTAACTTCTGGTAACTCAAATATCAAAATTTCAAGAAATTCAATTAATTAGTTCCGTAGATATGTTCTAAAACGTTGAACTTTAAGGAAATTCAAATTTTTCTTTTGTTTTATTTTTCCACTTTTATACAACTATATATGTAATTTCGTTAGAAATTTTTGAACACCTTGAAATTTCTTTATAAAATTTTTCCCAGTTGCTTAAGCTTTAACTTAAGTGTTCAAACATTAAAAAATTTTTTATGTTACAGTAGATATAGCGCGAAAACCATTTCAAAGACTAAAGGCAAAGATTTTAAGCGTTGTAATTGTCAACTATTATTGATTTTTGGTGACAATAGTCACTTGAGAAAACGGTTGACATTTTGAAGAGCCGCAATTTTGATAAAAAATCTGAATTTTAATGTTATTATTGAAATCCAACAAATAATAACAAAATCGAAACGAAATTTTATACAAACTTTTTAATTTGAATAACAAAATTTTATTTTAAAAATTTGAAATTTTTGAAAAGAAAAACTAAAATTAATTTTGTATTACTAAAAGCAAAACAAAAATCTAGTAATCAAAAATTTTTTTTCGAAACTTTTCTTGGTAAAGAAAACTGACCGGTTTTTAATTTTTGCCAATTTTTATAAGAAATGGTACCTATATGGTTTGAAAATTTTAAATGCATTTTTCTCACATTGGGTGCACTTTAAAAATTTGAAAAAAATATTTTCGAAATCTAGACACCATTTGGCATCTGATGTTATTAAAATTATCCACCTGGAGCGAATTTTTAAAGACATGCCATACAAATTTTGACATTTATTTTAATAGAAAAAAATTTTTTTTAATAATAAAATTTTATTTTTTCAAACAAAATGGAGTATGTAAATGATATGTTATTAACATTATGAAGCCAATAAAATAATTTATTAATAATTTAATGCGATTAATAAATTTTAAACAAATTTCGACAAAAACTAAATTCGCATACGGTTGATGCAACTAAAGAGGTGTTCCAGTAAAGCAATCAATTTTAAACATGTGATTGAATAGAAACAGATTTAAAAGAAGAAAAAGCATAAATTTTTTACGGAATAGGTGAATTTCATAGGCGAATTTCATGTTCGTTTTGAGAAATTTATAAATTTTTTAGATAAGGGATTCGTATTTTTCCAAATTTTTTGATTATTAAATTGAATTTAATTTTAGTTTTAGCAAAATCTGGTTTGGTTTTAATTAAATTTGTGGCTCAGAAAATTTGTGGTTTTTGTACTATATCTTCTGTAACATAAAAATTTTTTTAATGTTTGAGGACTTTAATTAAAGTTTAAAGAGCTGGGAAAAATTCTATAAAAAAATTTTAAGGTGTTAAAAAATTTCTAACGAAATTATCTAGTTAGAAAAAACTGGAAAAATAAAACAAGAGAAAAATTTGAATTTCCCTAAAGTTCGAATGCCTAGTATTCCGAAGGTACATAAAATGACATGTCTTTTTTAAGCCCCTTAACTAGGCCTTTCAGAAACTGTTTGTTTGAAGTTCCTATCTTTTTCAGCATTGAAGTTACAATCAAAAAGACCTGTATAAGTAAAAATTTCGTGAAAACTCGTTAAAATCCCTGGAACTCGGAAACCCTTGAGATTTGGCACCCAGTCGCAACAAAAGTTTTACCCATTTTCGATCTTCTAACCAATGGTATATTATGTTGTTCTAAATTTTCAGAATCACTCTGTATATGAAATTGCAAGTAAATCGGTTGAATATTTCCTTTAAAATGGTCAAAAATATAAAACAGGCCCGTTAAAAAGTCCAGTTTCGAGGTCTGATATATCGCAAAAGTTGATCAATCCGTGCCATAGTCAGTATTTACTTTTTCATATAATTTGAAATAATTATTTTGAGGTCATCTTCATAATTTTATGCAACTCTTTAACAATGCTTAACTTACGAGGTAGTGTTACCTTGCCTCTGACGAGTTAGAGAAAAGTTTGGGAAAGAGTAGAGTTTTGAACATGTTGAATTGGTAATTTTACGTCCCACACAAATAGTTTTACATATTGGTTTTTGTGAATAGCTATTAAAAGTTTTGCATTTACTTTACTGACAAATTACTTA